TCTTCCCAATATGCGTTTTTGCAATTTACATATATGCAAAAACGCATAAAAACGCATAATAAACGAATGGAAAGTTAGAATAATTTATAGTAAGCAAGAGCACGAATTTAAGGCCAGGTCTATAATTGTGAATAGAATTTAAATAACTGAATTTCTCCGTCGATAAAAATCCAGAAATTTTTTCCACTTTTCAGCAAATTTAATTTATGGTGAGGGTAGGCCAAAGAAAAGGGAGGGAGAGGATGAACATAGATACTTACGTGCAGGGAATCGGCTGATGCTATTAACCACTCTTATAAGCATACGAGCGGCCTTCATGTGTTCGCCACGCTTCACTAAATTCTGAAAATCAAAATAAAGGTTTAATGGATGTATTCCTGGCCTGTCAACAACCCAGGCCGGAAGGCATCAGAGGGCCGGCGCGATCATGCATTTTTGCACTATTTCGTGCTGCAACAAGACTGTAAGGAATCACAGTAGCTAGAATTTGTGACACACTAATTCTCGAGGTTCAGGAAGCTAACTGCGCAGCTATGTATCATGTCACTTGTAGATATCAGCTTAGTGACCTGACAAATGGAAACTTGCTGGTGCGCGAGAAAGACCGCACCAAAAAAGTTGAATTTGAAACCTTTCAATCTCACGCGAGTACGGAAAGTCACCTTAAAGTTTCAGCTTTTTAACTTTTGTTGCTTTCGAGTTAGCAATTTTCCCGCCAAAATTTCCAAATGCCCGTGTGGGGGTCCCGAGTGGCTCAAAAGTGCTGAGTTTGAAAATTTCCAGTCGCACATGAGCAGGGAACGCTCTATCGAAGTTCCAGCTTTGTAGCTTTTCTCGTTCCCGAGTTAACGGTTTTCCTGCTAAAACTTTTATGTGGCCGTACGTGAGGCCAAACGTGCGTGAGGGTCGGTACCACAGTCCTGGAGTGGCGATTGTGTTTCCATTGGCAAAATTTCAGCTTCAAAGCTTACGTGGTCAGCAAGCAGAAATGCTCGGACAGACGAACATAAGCACACACACTCGTACAAACATACAAACACACAGAGAAGGTCGTCGCAGTATGCGTTTTTGCTGTCTGCACGGCAAAAACGCATAATAAACTATCTATTCATAAAGTCCCAGACCCAACTGAGATCACAAACGCAGTACACGATACAAAAACCCGGGTTCACTGACGTGGACAGGCAGTGGCTGCTGCTGCCTTTCTTCCACCATCCATAATACCAGGGGCTCGACTGTAACGGTCCTGCGGCGGTCGTAGCGATTCTTCCTGCTGGCGGCACGTCTTTGGAACTACTGCCCTATGGACTCGATGCAAACCGTCTCAGCCGTCTTTCTAGGCTTATATATACAGCTTTCCTGGCAGGCGTTTTGCTTCGTGCTGTTGGACAAAACAGCATTATTATGAACGTGTACAGAAA